CCGAAATAATATAAAATATAAAATTATTTACCATACAATTCRCGTATTTATTCCGAAGAATCGGATACACAATAATAATATTATAGTAAATTATACACACAACACGCGCTGTAATCGTTTTTTCCGTTTTTTGGTTATATATTATGTTATAAGTTTATATTGTGTATCGTCGTATATYATCATCGTGCGAAGTCGTAAACAAACGGTTTATAACAATATTTTTCTCAACCGGTATCAATATAATTATAATAATACATACATTATAGTACCTATTTTAAATTTTAATGAGACGCKCGTATAAATGTTAATGTACAAATTCGTTACATTATCACGAGCGTACCTAACACACGATGTACATTCTTTTTTTTTTTACCAACCGCGTAATTGCGATAGAACGATTTTCGTCGAAGTTGTATTCGAACAAATTGGTCTATATATTATTCAATTTCGAGATGAGAACATAGTCTCAGATACCGTATATTCATACGRTCACACATACATGATACATCAAATCACTGAATTGGTGATACCTATTTAGCGTACATGTTTTAGGTGTATAAGTGCATTATTACGTAATATTATAACATTTGAATTACGCCCAAATCATCTGAGCATAATTTAAAATCATATTTCAATTACATGAATGATGTTTTATAGATTTTTCATACGAACAAAATGCGCACGCCAAATAAACAATTGTGTACATTGTGTATGTAACTGTATAAGACGTGTGTGATATTTACTATTCGACTTACATAACTTATAACTTAATAACTAATAAGTATTWTATACATTTCATCAGCGATTATTTGACATTATTGTTTAGGTTAAAAATTAAAATGGACTTGTACAAATCATTCGACTATCATTTTATGGCCATTTGCTCAAGACCTCTGTACAGACTGTACAGAATAGACTTTTCACAATAAAAGCTGAATCCAGTTTTGACCGCAAAACCGGTTTACCACACCAAAGTATCTGTAAGGGAAAATATAAAACCGTGTTTAAGCTCGAGTAGTAATTTAATCGCAAATATAGATCGTGATTATTTCCAATTGGAATATCTCTGACAATCTCCTAAATTATTTCACGTGGTTTTTGAATACTTTCCAAAAATAATCATTTAAACGTTGTTTTCTCTGCTATAATTAAATAGAACCTATAGAATATTTATAAACAATAATACCTAATTTTCAACAATAAATAATATTCTAAATACATTTTTTCCTAGACCGCATATTATABAATAATATTATTTTGCTTATTTAAAACGAGTTTATGTTGGGCATGGTAAACAATACGATTAAGGCTTTAGGGGCTTTACCTACTGACTATTTTCATAATTAATATTAGCTATACATTACTAGAGGCCATGAAATATTATGTCAACGGTCAAAACAGAAAACAGTCCTGCGTGGAAGAGAAAATGCATTTACGGGCAATTTTCTGTGTTTATGAAGCACTGGCATTTTCCATCTTTCTAGGTCGTCCCTAYAGGAGCTATAGCGGACACGAATTCGCGTACGAAAATTTACAAAATCCTCAAAATGCGAAGTAGTTTTTTTTTAGCACGGTACCTCGTGTACTCTCAAGTCACAACTCACAAGTACTGAAGTACCTACTGCAGATGATCGTCATACTTCAGTGTGTCTTTTTTAATCGTTCTTATCCATCGACGATTGACGTATTTGATTTAAATTTGTTTCGTCTACCGAGCACTGTCGGAGGAACCAAGTATCATCATTCATCACACAACGCCTTTYGCTTCCACTGCAGTGTAAGCATCTTATTTACGATTATAATTTTGTTGACAATAATAATATACAAGTGATTTGTCCGATAAAAGTGATCAATTACTAATTATAGAAATATAATATACACAAAAAGAACAGATACACTCATAGGCGAAATTAGAAAATTGTATTAGGAYAGACAGAGGCGTATTTAGGCACAGGCCCTATAGGCCCGGGCCTAGAGCGGCCAACATTGGAGGGCGGCAAATTTCAACAATTTTTTTTTTACAAAATTAGAAAAATTATTTTTCATTTGACGAAATCAAACTCAACTAATTTTTGTTCGCTCAAAATTAATCATATATCTACATATATCTTAATGTATYTTTTTAATATAATATTATAATATAATAAATTGTATATTTAAATACGTTTTAGAAATAATTGTAGGAAGAATGAAGGGGGAGGAAGGCGGCGAATTGGAAAGTGCCTAGAGGCGGAAAAMCCTTAAATACGCCACTGAGGACAGACCAAATGAAAAATATGAAAAAAAATTCTAATTATGAAATAAGTTTTTTTATTTAAATTTTAAATTTTATTATGTCAGTATATTATCCAATTAGTATTAGGTCAGGCCATGGCCTTAGTGTCCTGACCCGTAGTTACTAGTTTCGCCTATGGATACACCGCAGTGCACGGCTGGTGCTTATGGTTTGTGTTATCGCGGATAAAAATAAAAATGCTTAACTCCATTCACCGGTTTTTTGTTCGACTATGATATTATTACGACAACCAGACCAGAACGGTTGTGTTTGATTAATCGGTTTGAACTATTTCTCTTTATTTTCAGGAAAAATACTCGTAGACCAATAGGCAATAATGAAGCCACCGACGGCGGCGTAAATCATGAATCGGACAGCACCGGTAATGSTGCTAAAAAAGTATTTTCTCATATTATTCTGTGACAGATACCTTAATTATTGCGCTATTAAATAAAACTCTGAAAATAGTTTAGTTTGAAATATCAAATAAAACGATAGACAATTGGGACAAATTAGTGTGAAAAGATAAATATATATACATAATACATATGCATTAAACGCGTCAATAATATGTATGTATTTATTTAGAACCATTTTGTAGTTTCTCTTTGTAGTTTATTTATTATGCGACGATGTTATTCAACGTTGATGAGTCGGTTCCGAATTATTAAAAAAAAAAATGTATTATTTCACTTGATTATATATATTTGTATACAACATTTTCGTTTTATATATATAATTATATTCAGTTAAATTAAACTACCAAAATTTTACTTTTCTACATTCAAAAATATAAAATATTTTATTATTCAGTTTTATTAATGGGCATTATACAATAGGAATGTTTATATGATTATTTAAAATTAAATTATTATTGAATATACACTGGCAGTAATATTCTTTCGTAGCTATTTATATTTATTATTTCCTGTTAACGACTTACGGAAATACGGGGTTCTTATAAATACCAATAACGTCTTCCTTCCTGCACACTCAATAATTATTTATTTTATTTATATATATTTGGGTTTATATTTAAAAATACAATTCTAAAAATTGTTGGTTTTTAATTTGCTGGGTTGCGGGAATCACATGAAGTCGATTAACGGGCATGGTATCTACCGGCTACCGCAGCGTAATTATAAAAATATTAAGCGTGCTAAGTGTTGGCACTTATCTTGTAATCACTGTCCACTTGAGTATCTGACTGGTAGCAACTATCGTTACTAGTTAGTTGCAACAATTCTAGTGTATTCGGCACTTTTTTAAACGAGTACATGGTGTATTTTAAGAACTTTATATCAAGCAATATTCAGAAATAAAAGTAAACGGGTGTCGGTACAGACATGTGAATTGGGCTTACACAAAACCATGAACTATGAACTCATTCGACAGTCGACGCTCTCAAATTCGTTTTTGCGTAGCTCTTTGTCTCGAACACTAATAATATCAAGGTATCGTAATTAGAGCAGTTTTTTTAATTTTTCAATGAAGTCATTCATTTTGTTTATTCCTCGTCAAATTGTTCCGAATATTCCCTGAATCATCGCCAATTTCATCCAAGGGGAGGTTCATATTTTAATTCAATTTTGAGCATAATCGATTATTGAAAACCCCACTCCGTTTATTGCCCTCAAGCAATCGCCGGATTTAGATTTAGATATATCTCTGTACAGTGGTCGCTTGACGAGTGAGAATGTGGAATAATCGGTAGTCGATAGAAACCATACATGACATCATTGACTATTGAAATACATAGGGACTAGGGTGTGTTGYAGAGTACACAYAACAAAACATAAATAACAATATTATGTCCGGTGTCTGTAATGTTGTGGTGTAAACCGTATACAGACTGTAAATCAACCGATAAACTAGGTATATTGTAATAATGTTACACTGTGAAAACTCTTTATAACGAAAAACTCTATATATTACGTAAATAACATTAAGTTAACTTATAATGGTTGGTTTGATTTAAAATCTATTAATTTATTACTCTCTATTACGAAAACTCTCAATAACGAAAGAAATCACATGGTCCCTTCGGATTCGTTATAGAGAGTTTTCACTGTAAAACAATCACTAAAATGACTACCGTTCGTGTATTTATGTTTATCATAAAATGCTAAAAWAAGTAAACGTTCTTTTTTTTAGATTTATAATTTTATAAACAGTATGAATCGATCAAACTCTCGTACGAACCAAGGTTATCACTTATCAGTTTATAGGCATGGTACAATATTTTACTAAAAAATAATTWTAACGTTTATTATGCAACTAAACGGTAAAAATTCGAAATGATAACCGTTACAAATCTGGATTTCCGGGACGGTTTGCAATAATAATTCAAGACAGTAGATTGGTTTGTAGTAGACAACTCTGGGCTACATCACAGGGGCGCCTCCCTACGAGAAACAAAATATCCAACGAAAATGGGAAGTAAAAMTCGGAACACCAGAACTCGGGAGTAAGCTTGGTTCTTGTTGTTTACACCGGCCGATCGGCGGTCGGTCGTCCGACGGGAATGCGACCTGCCGTCTTGGTGGGGAGAAATATCTCGCTCGCTCAGCCACCGCCGCCGCCGCCGTCATCGACACCGCCACTACCCCCTCGGCCCACGCACCGCAGTGGTTACCGYCGGGCGCGCGCGCGCACTCGCGATAACTGCGAACGTGAACCTGAAACGAACACCACCGAGTGGCGAGTACCGACTCCGCGCTTAGTCAGTGTAGTAATGTCATTCGGGCGGCGCGTGTTTTGTGCGTAGTGGTCGTCGTGTGGTGTGTGTGCGTGTGTGTGTTAAGTGTTAACTGTTTTTTACTCRTTATAGTTTGATTTTTTTTCTCCGAGAAGCGTTCTCGTTGGCGTTTAGAATCATGATTCGATCGTGTGCGGTTCAACGGCAATATTAATWGACAWAGTACATTTTCGGAGCAATAATTCTCGCAACAAGTGTACACGACCGATGACGACAACCGGGCAGCAGCAGACCGCTACCACGGTRACGGCAATGACGGGTAGCCCACGGCGACGTCGKTCGACGTTCTATATCCCGCTGCAGGCCACGGCCCGGCCTGTGTTGGCCGTGGCCCGGCTGGCGGACTCGATGCCTCAGTCGGCCGCCCAGCAACAACCGCAGCACAAATCGGCCAGCGGACGGGCTCTGTCTGCGTCCGCTCTGGCCCTGCTGCAAGCCGACCACCCTCCGTCCCACCGTCCACCTTCGTCGCCGTCGTCCAGCCGGCGGAGTTCGCCGCTGGCATTTATACGACGTCCGTCGTCCCGAAAATTGGCCCGCAGCTCGTCCACCATAATYACCACGGGCGGCCGGTGGCTGTCGTCCAAGGCGTCCGTTGGCCCCCTGCGTGTTAACTGCGGTGACAGTTCGTCGTCCCTCGGCGACACGAGCGCCGTAGTCCAGCAGGCCAACAGGTCGCCGCCGATCATAGTCATCGAAGGGTCGCCGGACGAGTATTACCGCAGACGGCGTCGTCGGCGACGACACGGGCTGGGGAAGCCACCCAACTCGACCGGTGAAGACGAGAATAGAAGCGAAAGCGACGACGACAACCAACTCTATGACGACGACGACGGAGACGACAACCGATCAGGTTAGTTGTCTCTGCGACACCCTTGGCCGGCGCGGATATATGATTTTTAACACTATCGCTGTAGCGTGTCCCAATGAGAATTTGTGTTCATGGAGGGGGGAAGTAAAAAATTACAATTATTTTTGGTATCGTACCTATTACAAAAACACTCGGAAAAMTATAATGTTGATATGAGTTGAAAATCTGATTACCTAACGTTCTTGCTGACCAACACTTATCATCTGATAATACAAACATTATCACTCTAAGTTTTCAATAATCTATACAACAACAAGAAATATCGATTTTGATTTATAAAACGTTTTTACACGCTTATAAAGGGAAGGATCTCTCCGCAAACTGCGAGTAACGAGTCGGTTAAACTATATTTAAGCAACGTTGTGGTGAACATCATGTGGTTTTACATTATCGTTAATATCTCTCCATCGCTATGCTCTCTCTCTTTCTGATTTTTATAAAACCTCTTCGGTTGAATGAGCGTGGGGGCGGTTCCGAGCGAGCCTATTGTTTTTATCTAACGTCGACCGGACACACGGGACAGTCACCGCCRCCCGTTTTGAATGCAAATGAAGTCGTCGTCTAGACGACGGCGGGCGGCCATCCGGATGACGATTTCCTCACATTAACACATCCCGAAACGCGATCAGAAAGACTTGTGATTCCGTAGGTACTCTGCGAGCACCGCCGTTTCGTATAAAACACTCATGACGTGTTACAGTGTAGTATTTCATGACCATGACGAGRATTTTTATAGTTTCAGGGGATAGAGTCCTATGAAACCAAATTTCAAAATCATAACCTGTAGGGTACAAAGCCTAGCCTCTTCACACACCCATCACGAGCGTCGTCGCTAGTTTAGGTTAGGTAACATAGGGACTAGGGAAATASAGAATGCGGTAAAATACAAGTTTGAAACGAACCATACCCTAATTGATTCAAAATAATACAATTATAARTAATTAATTTGTTGTATATTATACKTATACGTTCTCCTCATGCCTACATAAACTCGTACTGGGTAGGTTAATTCTCGATATTAATATATTGTATAGATACGTTACAGTTAAACCCATGTCAGTTTTTCTAGGCAATGATTTTGATTTTTACCCGAATGTGTTTAAAAGTAAAAAAAAAAAGGTGTAGAGGAGGCGGCTAAGCTCTCCCAAGCAACATGCCCTAAGTACGTTGATGTGTAGTACACGTGTAAAACGATGGAAGTTTGTCAATATAATATTAYTATTGTTGTCGTATGGAGATGGAAAACCGTCGTCCAAAGTGGCCGTCACAACTCGCATTACTAATAAGTGTGTGCAGCGCACGTGTACGCTCCGYCGATAGATAATTCATAATATTGCGCGCGCGCTTCTTCGTGAGTTGGTACACATACCTACACAGCTACTGATTACTGATACGATTACTTATCACTAATTATTATTATTATTATTATTATCGTTGTGCCGCCACTAACGGCGCACTTTAAATTACTTTAACGATCGTGCGACCAACTAATGTTAATCGTGCGCACTAGAGAATAGAACAGTAATACGACGTGCCAAAAAAACAAACAATTCGCGACGAAAAACCCGTCACGTGTATTATAGTTTTCCCGTTTTCTACGGTCCGCGCGCTATTATTTTGATCCGATTTTTTTCTTCCGTTTCATCTGCCATGTAGGATATATTTTAACATTATAATATACTGAGGAATTTCCGTTATTGGGTTTCGCGCACGGTGAAAGTCGTCGGCCGTCGCGCACTGTCGTCGACAAAACAACGATAAATCGGTACATATTATTATTATAATGTTCTATGATATTTTAGTCTCACGGATTCTGTGACCGATTGGTTTTCACTTCCAAAAATTGCATTATTCCACGATGACGCGCGTTGTCGTGTTTAATGGTTATTTTTTTTGTTTATTTTGTTATTATTTCGGCGAGCAACGTGGTGGGTTGCTGACCGTCTGCGTTCGTACAAGTCTCCCGCGTTCCYCGACTTTGTTTTATAATGTCGCATGTTGCGTGTTTAGGATTTCAAAAAAAAAAAAAATAGGCATTCTCAACTTAATGTGAAACAATGTTATAATTATTATTATTTATCAATACCATAACCTATTGTAGTGTTGTAGTGCAGTAAGTCTTAAGTTAAAATAGGCGCTATCAAATTTCCCCTCACCATTAACTGATTGTAAATTTTACGTGGTAATAGATTTTTTGATTTGACTGTGCGTTTGAGTGTTTTTAATATAATGTGAACATAATAATAATTTTCTATTTTTTTCGTCATCTATGACGAATTCGATAAAAACTGTCGCAGTTTAATTTGCGTACCAATTACCTATAGTCCACGTGAAGTAAACCGTGTTCACGTTTATCTTATATCGAAAGTCTGTTGCCAAGTTTACGAGATTAATATACCCCATGCGTCGCAGCGCGTGTGTGGGTGTGTGTAAATGTATTTTGTTAACGCCAAAAAATCCATTAGTTTAGTTTTTGACGAAACCAACACACATTTTATTATTATTAGAGTTTCGTGTCGAATACGTGTGACGTGCAGCGAAATAAGGAATCAACTGTTTTTAGAGATCATTTTCTTTTTATTAAAATGAGTCATGAATAATATCTTGTCATCKAAATAATATTACTGGTACGGTTTCTATATTATGCATTTATGCGTGATTTGTAATTTAAATTTAATATAAAAATACGTTTTGATCTTATACATTAAATTTGCTCGTTGTTCGGTCTCCTATAAAATAAATACGMCATACGACACGGTGCGTTGTTGAGCAATACATAACATTGTTGATATCGTGTCAAGGACAGATTTTTACACTCTTGACATCGCTGGTTTTATGAAYACAATATTATTGTTAATATCATAACTTATAACCGTCTGTAGTCGTTATCATCCAGTTATTATTTTTGTGAGTGCTATATATGTTTTTCACGACAACTGCCGGAGGAGACTATAWTAATAGATTTATAAGTGTATAACTTTCGAACGTGACCATTTCCTTTCCACCAGTCGTACATACTTATTATACTAATATGATAATTTGTATTATGTTATATATTTGTATTGAAGAACCGCGAGGAATACACGAACGAAAACCGAACGTTTATAATAATTATTATATTATTGCGTCTATAGCACGCGATCAATGCCCCGGAACCAGAAAAAACCGCAAAATAAAACTGCCGCATCAGCAGTGCCGCCATTTCCGCTTAGTGAAACCGGGACCAAATCGATCTATATGCGTATATAATTAACTACTGTGGGTATATTGTCAAATCGTTTCTATGGATCGGCCTCGTACCGTTATAATGGCATAATATGTTCAAATTTGTCGCTGGACCGGATGCGATCGTCTATAGTCCATCGGTCTTATGCATAATGGCATTATAACGAAGAGGTGAGTTGGCTGTCTCACTGTTATCGAACCCCAACCTTTTAGRCCTTGGCCAAGTCCRAACGTGAACTCAAAAAAATATAACCTCGAACGGTCAGAGTTCCCCCCCCTCCGGATCGTTTGGCATAATACCTATATATTATAATACTGTATATTATACTACTGAAGTTTACATCTGGCCTGGATCTCTTCTCTCACCCCTAAGGAAAAAGGGTGTTTCGCGTGTGRGGCGTGTTCGTCTTTTGCAGACGTCTGACGGAAACCGTACGCGCGCCACTGTTGTGAACATAATAATAATAATAATAATAATATAAAATATGAAATGTTGTCGCGTGAGTCGTCCTTAGAAAAAAAAAAAACTATACCGCGAACTCTGATGGTTTTAACAATATCATGTTATACCTTACTCCCCGGAAACAAAACAAAAGACTCCTTTCGCGAATAAAGGATATATATTTAATAATGAAACTAATTGTTATACCTACGTCCGATTCCTTAACGTCGTTATAATTACTATTAAATACGCGCGTGTGGCGTTTGTCGTAGGTATAATGTTATAATGTTGTATTGCAATACTTTAGTAGTAAAACAGGCGAACGTGCAAAATATGTGAACGCCACACACACGACACGATAATAATAATAATAGCCGTCGGTCGTATCTTATTATATTTTTTTTTCGTCTTCCTTTACGCTGTGGCGTGGTGTATCCTTGAAATCCAAGTCGAAATGTGATTTTTTTTCTTCCCCTTCGGTCTCTCTCCCCTCGAACGTTACTCACTCACAACAAAGAAACACTCTTCGCGTGCTCGTGCTGGGCCAGTGCTGCAGCTGCGCGTCGTCTTAAACCGTCGGCAAAGACCACGCCCACTATTTACGAGTGTGTGTGTGTGTGTGTGTGTACGTGTACGTCGTATATACGGCCTATCCGACTTCTTCGTCGGCACACACGTACGCGACAAAATATGTTACACAGGTAACGACCACCTGGACTCGCACTAGAGTGCAGTGGCGAGGTAGGTACCGATGAGTGATATAATATACGTTTGAATGAGATTTCACGATTGTCGATTGCCGGCCATATTGTTCCCGGACTAGCTTTCAACTACGTTTAATAATATCTTGTCGCACCGTGTGTCCATCCACTTTCCCTGTTAGGTGTCGGGAACAGCTCAAACCATTTCCGACGCCGTACACAGTCCACGTGGCTTTTAATTTTTATYTTCAACGAGTTGACAGTTGTGAACTTACGTCATGATAATATTGATATGAGTTGGCGCGAACATTTTGAAAGTATACGAAGTGAATTGTGTATGATATTCTAATGTCYAAATATATTTGCATATCCACACGGTTCCTGCCGGTTTTTATTTATAATTAAAACAAATATTAAATATTTTTGTTGATAATCTTAATGATATACAAAAAAAGGGGGGTCAGCACCCAACCATATTGGTCACGAAAGTAAAAAATAATAATTTTTGGCTTTAAATCCTGCTACCACTGATTTAACTGCAGTAGAAGTATACCTCAATGCATTTAGGTTTCCCCCTACTTGTGTCATTGCATATAAAGGTCGACTGCATAATA